GTATAACAACATGCCCCACCTTGACTTTACTTCAAAATATTTACAAAATCTTTTATGTAACCAATTTTGTTCAATTTTGAATACATAATTTTGATAAACTACATATTTATCTTTCACTTTCATTCAGTTTCAATGTATGATTCTGGTTATTTCGCTAGATATTGGACTTTTTCTAAAAATCGTAACAACTAGCCCCGGTTTCCCCTATATATATATATATGTGGTATCGAGCCAAGCTAAATACTACGATCTTTCGCTGACCATACTATACACTGATGTAGGATATTGCCAGATTTGACACTGCCAGATTTTTTAAATAAATTGTCTTGAACAAGAAACTATAGAGGTTATGGATTGGCGAACATGAAGTTTGATCTACCTCCTATAGAATTCCTCTCGAATCTCCTATAGAACTCTTCTAGAATCTCCTCTAGAACACCTCTCGAATCTCCTATAGAACTCCGCTAGAATATCTTCTAGAATTCCTCTAGAATCTCTTCTAGAACTCCTCTCGAATCTCCTATAGAACTGCTCTAGAATATCTTCTAGAATCTCCTCTAGAACTCCTCTAGAATATCTTCTAGAATCTCCTCTAGAACTCTTCTAGAATCTCCTCTAGAATATCTTCTAGAATCTCCTCTAGAACTCCTCTAGAACTCTCTAGAATCTCCTCTAGAACTCTTCTACAATCTCCTCTAGAACTCCTCTAGAATCTCCTCTAGAACTCCTCTCGAATCTCTTAGAGGAGTTCTAGAGGAGATTCTAGAAGAGTTCTAGAGGAGATTCTGGAAGAGTTCTAGAGAATCCCCTCTAGAACTCTTCCAGAATCTCCTCTAGAACTCTTCTAGAATCTCCTCTAGAACTCCTCTAGAATCTCCCCTAGAACTCCTCTAGAATCCCCTCTAGAACTCTTCCAGAATCTCCTCTAGAACTCTTCCAGAATCTCCTCTAGAACTCTTCTAGAATCTCCTCTAGAACTCCTCTCGTATCTCCTCTAGAACTCTTCTAGAATCTCCTCTAGAACTCTTCTAGAATCTTCTCTAGAACTCGTCTAGAATCTCCTCGGAATTCGTGCACTTCAACTTTTTAGTTCACCACGTGATGTCAGAAAACTTAGCGAAGATTTGGCTAAGAATGATGGGACAGTATTTCCCATAATATCGTCTGTTTATTAATCAGAAGCATACCTCATGGATACTAAAACTATATCCATGTTGGAGAGAGGTAAATTTGTTTCTGAATATCTTTTTGTCAAATGTGACTCCTTCAGTTAATGTAGTGGGATTCTTACTTCAAGAACAACCCTAAGTTAACTCTAATTGCTGCTTTAAAACTGTTCACGGAGGAGGAGGAAGAAGAGGCTTCCGAAAAAAAAAACGTTGTCGTATGTCAACAAACCGATTTTCAGGCTGTGAAGTTTGACTCGTTAGTAATCTGTCTAAAAGCGACTCTATCCGTTCTAATCAGCGTGTTTGCCCTGATTAGTCACAATTTGTTGAAATACTTTGTCTTCCAGTCATGTGCTTAAACTTTACTCTTCCCTTACCAGCCTGTTGATCGTCGTGTTTAAGAACAATTTACAGTAAAAAAGGCTAGATGGCGATATATATTACACATCAACTTAACTTTGAATGTATATATGAGTTTGGTTGGAATTTAGCGCAAAGCCACACGAGGGCTTTCTGCGCTAGCCATCCTAATTTAGTAGTGATAGACTAGAAGAAAGGCTGCTAGTCAACACTAGCCGCTGCAAACTCTTGGGCTACTTTTTTACCAATGTGACGGTGAAATTGACCGTCACATTATAATGTCTCTACGGCTGAAAGGATGAGCATGTTCGGTGACGGGGATTTGAATCCGCGACCCTCAGATTGCAAGTTGAACGCTCTAACCACCAGGTTATGCCAAGTGCAAGTATGAGATGAGATAACTTTATATCACTAGAATAACTACAATTTTAAATAGAATATAAAATTGAGCTTACTGAAAAAAAA